GCTTATGGCAAAACTTTCTTTATCTGAACACTTTTATTAACTTCATGACTCAAACTAGAGTTTTGCCTATGAGCATCAAACTTCTTAATCGACTTAACAGACAAACCCGTTAGTCTCAACAGAACAGCCAACGACTGAACACTAATGGAGAACGAACACCTAACTCCTAGTGATGGTCACCCCTGGTTCCAGGCCAAGATCCATAACAGAAAAGGAAGTCTGCATTTATTTCCGCTGCTTGTACTTTACACACTCAGCAAACAGAACTCAAATGACACAATAGTTTTGGGTGTTTTTTTTTTTTCTTAATACAGAGAGAAGAAAATTGGAAAGGGAACTGGGAGCAATTCAGAAAGACCCAATCAACTCAAATAGCTAAGCATTTATTAGCACTATCAAGTGTTTCGTTTCTTGGGGGGTTTTGTTGTTTTTTGTTGTTTGGGGTTTTTTGGTTTTAAATTAGGGCAGAGAGAGAAAGATATTTTCAACTCTTAAATAAGGTACTACAGCAACAACTGTTGCAGCTCTTCCGCTAGAGGAACTCACTGCAAAACAGTCTTTAAATCACATCCTGGTTTTGGCTAGGACAGAGTTAATTTCCTTCCTAGTAGCTGGTGCAGTGCTGTGTTTTGGATTTAGGATGAGAATAATGTTGATAACACACCGATGTTTTAGTTGTTGCTGAGCAGTGCTTACACTAGTCAAGGGCTTTTCAGCTTCCCATGCTCTACCGACTGAGAAGGCTGGAGGTGCACAAGAAGCTGGGAGGGGGCACGGCCAGGACAGCTGACCCCAACGGGCCAAAGGGACATTCCATACCGTGGGGCATCATGCTCAGTATATAAATGGGGGAAAGCTGGCCGGGGTGGCCGCTGCTCAGGGACTGGCTGGGCATCGGGCAGCGGGGGGGGAGCAATTGCATTGTGCATCACTTGCTTTGTATATTCTTTTATTGTTATTATTATTACTATTTTACTTCAATTATTAAGCTGTTTTTATCTCAACCCACGAGTTTTCTCACTTTTACTCTTCCAATTCTCTCCCTCATCCCACCGTGGGGGAAGGGCGGGAAGAGCGAGCACGCAGCTGTGTGGTGCTCACGACAAATCAGCATAAGCGCATTGAAATGTACCAGCTAATTTTCTTCTCACTTAAATCCTATTCAATACATACATGCTTTTTGTCATCTAAGGTGATACACTTACTGCAGCAATCAATAACCTTTTGTACCTCTTTTTAAGCAACTTCTTACAGTGTTATCAAAATTTTAAATCCCTATGTATTAAATACGTGTATTTCAAGTACTATCGTCCACACTTACTACATTTTTTTAGATTTCTAGCTTTTCAAATAGATAACTGTATTAAGGAAGGAGGATGCTTTTTAACTACAGTTTTAAATTCATTAAGACTTACAGAGTTACAATCTATCTGCATAAAAGAAACATAAAAGATACTTTGCAATACACAAAAATACAAACATAAAACAAACCAAGAACTCTTACACACACAATTAATCTCACCATTTATACATCACTTGCATGGCAAAAGATCCCAAACTTTTCCTTGTAAAACTTAATCAAAATACAAACGACATGATTTTTTTTCTGCTACCTACTAGTGAAATGCTGAAACCTCAAAGACTGAGAGCAGCAACTAACAAAATCCCACAGAATGACCTCCTGCCCACAGAGGCCATGTCCCTGCGCATCTTTCAATGGAATACTTTAGATCTCACTTGTATTCTAACATTTCCCCTGGTGCTCCTGAAGACCACCTTCTTCCTAAATTAGCTCATTCACGCTAGAATGGGTGGTGGTGGTGTGTGTGTGTGAAATCCACCTATTACACATTTTCAATTTTCAAGTACTATTAAACAATAATGGTTTTGTAGTAAACAAATAGTCTCTCACAAGAAACAAATTCAAGTACCAGTTTTCTTTTTTTTTTAAATAGAAAAGTCAATCCAGCATCCAAAGTGCCAGTGAAACCACCCCACATATACAGCTGCTTTCTAAAGTGATGCAAGTTCATAGAATTATTGGTCAACGATTTATCTCCTCAAGTAACACCTCTTTCCAAGCTGTCCGACAGGTGTCCAGCTCTAATCCTGTAACACAGCTCTGGACTACACCGGCTTGAGGAGGAGCTGTTGCCCGCTCTAGGACCCACGATATGGTATTTAGCCTACAGCCACTGGCTTGTATTAGCCAACCAGAGTACAACAGCGGTTTTTCTTTTATTCCCGCTTCCGAGGTGCACACGCAGCCACCGCAGCAACGTCCTGCTGAGCGCCTGTGCCGCAGGAACAGCAAAACACACGGCGTCCTCGGCAGCCTCGACAGCATTTAAAAGCCTCACCCGTCTGAGCTATCGCAGCTAGGAAATCCCTCGGCTACTCTAGGCTAATTTCCACCGACAACAACAGCGGAGCTAATGCCCTAAACCACCGCCGGCCGGACCCGTTTTCCTTTCCTAGAGAGTCATCGCGGGCCGTTGCTGGAGGTGCTGTTTACACTGAATCCAACAGTTCAGCGGCCATTGGAAACAGCGAGGATGGTCTCTCGGAAGGCCGGTTTCCAGACACCGCCCCGGGCCTGCCTCCCGCCCGCGGGTCTTCCATCCCCGACGGGACGGCGGCTGCCCCCCCCAAAACCTCGCTTCAGGAGCCTGCCCGTCCTTCGAGGGCTCGACCCAGCAGCCAGCACTTAAAAGGCCAATGAA